AATCTTCATTGGTCTGAAACCAGTAAGTCCAAGAAACGGGTTAGTCTCATATCGCCTACACGCTAATTCGCCTACGCTTCAATGTGCCTACAGGTTCTATGTAGGCGAGTAGGCACACCCCTTTGTAGACTGTCATTAAAGACATTGATTAATTTGTTTGAAAACATTTCACAGTAGATAAGACTTCAGAAAATGGCTGCTTATGCAGCCTATTTCACCGTAAAAAAAGATTAAAGAACTGCATCTGATCACATTGTCAATTACGGATTGTTTTGTGATCTCATTAATCTCAAATAAACTATGTATAAACTGTATTCATAACACTGAAACAGACCCGTGAAGATCCAGGCTTGAATAGGTCTTCAGCAACGCATGATTGCCGTAAGAAGCGACTAACGGGATCGGGTGGTCAGGCTCACTGACTTGGTTGATGCATGTCATCGTATGCCAATTGCGTGGATCGATGCTCTTATTGTCAATCACTGGATTGTTTGGTCCAAACTAGATATTTTACAGATCGCCGATATTAAACAACAATCAAACAAACAAAACATTCAAACAGCTCACTGTATAAAAGATTAAAGAACCACTTCTGACCAACATTGTCGTTATCAGATTGTTCAAGCATATGGTCAATATGGACAGTCGGATTAAAGGCTTATCTTCTTAGGATGAACAATTGAGTAACAGATTACTAAAACATTTGATGCTTATCTGCAGGAAATGATGTTTTTATGTAATCCTTTTAGTTCTCACTTAAACCTCTCAAAAGAGGGGTGTAAAATAAGGGCCTATCGACCTGTTTTTAGCTATCATTAAAATTCAAACTACCTGGACAGCTGGGCCCATATATACACTGATCCATATCCACAGCTATAAACCCCAAGCACATTCGGTTCGCCTGCCTGATGGTCAGTCAGTATTCCATGCTGAACTGGAGGCATTTCATCATGCACTCGAACTCATACCGGAAACAAAGACAGTCGTCCTATCAAGTGCACTTCAGGCCATCAGTGGCAGAAACTTAAACTCCAGGCCAAACACAGTCAATAATATTCTATACGAAGATAGACAACCTATCGGACGAAGGGCAACAGTTGGAGCTGTGTTGGATCCCCTCTCACATAGATATTCAAGGAAATGAAAAAGCAGACACTCTGGCGAAGTTAGCTCTAGACAAAGCGGAGATACAGCCTATGAGCCTTTAGTAAAATAGAGATAAACAGCAAAATCAAAGCCCCCATAGCCCAAAGATGGCAAGCCCTTTGGGACGCACGTAAATATAAGATCGGCAGATGGCTATACAAAATTCAACCCAAGATCCACCAAAAGCCATACTCATACTCGAATGAAATGAAAGTTGAAATTGCCATCTCACGCCTCAGACACGGTCACAATAAGCACTATGACAAGGTTTCCCCATCTTGCAATCAGGCTGAATCCATTGCTCACTCTTGTTACTGGAATGTGAAGACCACGCCCCAGCCCGGGCTCGGTTTAAACAAGAATTGCAGTTAGATCCGCTGTCTGTCGTTGATCTCCTAAAGCAAAGAGATGCAATAGCGAAGGCCAAACTAACTCTATTTCTGGGAGATGGACAGCTACTCGAACGTATATAAACAGAGCAGCCAAAGAGAAAAATGAAGTTATATCAATATACGAAAATATAAATAATATCAATACAAAAACAAAAATTCTTCGAATACCAGGCTCGCAATAGATATTTGTACCCTCCTCATACACGAGTCCAAAAGAGGGAGAGATCAGCCGAAATTGCGAAGGCAGAAGTCGACCTCTTAAACACCTAGAGCAACAACAACCTGTTTTTTCAAAACACTGTGGCGAACCTTCAGTGACTTGAATACATAACTTCACAGCGTGGTGGTCAACATGTCCTACATGATGGCTTTCGCTATCGTCTGAACGTTCGGCGTCAATTGGTTGTCCATTTTTCGACTTTACACAAGAAATACAGCTCCGTGCAGACATAACTTCAGTTCCTAGAGTAAGTGAGGGAGTTAGTATGATTTTACGCTGTATGCAAAGTGGCATATAGTAGCAAAGTTGCAACAAGTAGCAAAGTGGCACCTAGTAGCAAACTGGCAACTAGTAGCAAAATGGCAACAAGTAACAAAGTAGCAACAAGGAGCAAAATGGCAACAAGTAACAATGTAGCAACAGGTAGCAATTAAAGTAGCAACAAGCAGCAAAGTATCAACTAGTATCTAAGAAGCAACAAGAAGCAAAGTGGCGACTAGTAGCAAAGTTCACTGAGTAGCAAAGTGGCACCTAGTATCAAAATGACACCTAGTATCAAAGTGGCAACTAGTAAAGTGGAAACTAGTAGCAAAGTAGCAACTAGTATCTAAGAAGCAGCAAGAAGCAAAGTGGCAACTAGTAGCAAGTGGCACCTAGTAGCAAAGTGACAACTAGAAGCAAAGTGGCACCAAGTAGCAACTTGTATCTAAGAAGCAACAAGAAGCAAAGTGGAAACTAGTAGCAGCGTGGCAACAAGTAGCAAAGTTGCACCTAGTAGCAAGTGGCAACTAGATGCAAAGTAGCATAAAGTAACAAAGTGGCACCTAGTAGCAAAGTGGCAACTAGTAGCTAAGTGGCAACTAGTAGCTAAGTAGCAACAAGCAGCAAAGTGGCAACTAGATGCAAATTAGCAACGAGCAGCAAAGTGGCAACTAGTAGCAATTGGCGACTAGTAGCAACGTGGCAACAAGTAGCAAAATTGCACATAGTAGCAGTTGGCAACTAGTAGCAAAGTAGCAACTCGAAGAAAAGGGGCAACTAGTAGCAAAGTGGCAACAAGCAGCAAAGTGGCAAATAGTAGCAAAGTGGCAACTAGTAGTAACGTGGCAACAAGTATTAAAGTTGCAACAAGGACCAAAGTGGCAACAAGTAGCAAAGTGGCAACTATGCTACTAGGTGCCACTTTGCTACGAAGTGAAACTTTGCTACCAGTTGCCACTTTGCTTCTTGTTGCTTCTTAGATACTAGTTGCTACTTTGCTGCTTGTTGCCACTTTGCTACTAGTTGCTACTTTGCTGCTTGTTGCCACGTGCTACTAGTTGCCACTTTCTACATGTTGCCACTTTGCCACAAGGTGCAACTTAGCTACTAGTTGCTACTTTGCTGAGTGTTGCTACTTAGCTACTAGTTGCCTTTTTGCTACTCAGTGAAACTTTGCTACTAACTAGTTGCCACTTTGCCTCCTAGATACTAGTTGCCACTTTGCTACTTGTTGCCACTTTGCTACTAGTTGCCACTTGCTACTAGTTGCCACTTTGCTACTAGTTGCTACTTTGCCGTTTGTTGCTTCTTGGCTAGTAGTTGCTACTTTGATACTTGTTGCCACTTTGCTACTACAGTCCGTTTGACTCCAAATGAGAACGATGAATTGCAAAATAACTCGAAATCCAGAAAAGTGTATGAAACATCCATCAATACGGTACTTGACCATGAATACCCTGTACCCAACAAAATCTGAATTTTGTTTAATTTAAGACCAATGACGGATGAAGTTCTTTAAGAAACTATCATGTAATTTTGTATAGAAATGTGTACATGACACGTAGTCGCATAGTCGCCTTTTACGGCAAGCATGGGTTGCTGAAAACCTATTCTACCCCGGATCTTCACGGGTGGTCTGTAAATAATCGAGTCTGGACTAGACAATCCAGGGATTAATGTCATGAGCATCGATCCACGCAATTGGGATCGATGACATGCATCAACCAAGTCAGCAAGCCTGACCACCCGATCCCGTTAGTCGCCTTTTACGACAAGCATAGTCACCTATTACGGCAAGCATGGGTTGCTGAAGACCTATTCTAACCCGGAATCTTCACGGGTCAGTTGCCACTTTGCCTTTTGTTGTTTCTTAGCTACTAGTTGCTACTTTGATACTTGTTGCCACTTTGCTTCTAGTTGCTACTTTGCCGTTTGTTGGTTTTTAGCTACTAGTTGCTACTTTGCAGTGTGTTGCTTCCTAGCTACTAATTGCTACTTTAATACTTGTTGGCACTTTGCTTCTAGTTGCTACTTTGCTACTAGTTGCCACTTTTTCCGTTTGTTACTTCTTAGCTACTAGTTGCTACTTTGCTGGTTGTTGCCGCTTTGCTACTAGTAGCCACTTTGCTGATTTTTGCAACTTTGCTACTTGTTGCCACTTTGATACTAGTTGCTACTTTGCTGCTTGTTGCTACTAGGTGCAACTTTGCTACTAGTTGACACTTTGCCATTTGTTGCTTCTTAGCTACTAGTTGCTACTTTGCTACTAGGTGCCACTTTGCTGCTTGCTGCTACTTTGATACCTGATGCAACTTTGATACTTGTAGCCACTTTCCTACCAGTTGCCACTTTGCTACAAGGTGCAACTTTGATATTTGTTGCCACTTTGGCTACAACTAGCTATCAGTTTATGCAGAAAAAAAACTGAAATATATGTTGATTACAATAAATGATGCTACCCCTTCATATGCAAGATCGATGTATTCACCTGCTTTCCGATTACCCTAATTGAGTTGAACGTCAAACCTGATAATCAACGTGAAACAGATTCTCAGATAATTAAATATTAAGTGTTTTCATGAACTTCTGTAGCTTTATGTTTACATTTTATGTTAGTTTTACACACATACACATGCCATATGGTATTTCCACATCATAAACATCACAAATGTACTCTGGACTATTTACAAATGTACCTTGCACATCGTGACTATGCTTCTGACAATCGACGGATTTTTAAAATGCTTTTATCTTTCGGATGAGCAAATATCATTTACAGGGAGATGTTTACTGAGAGATGAAAACGTGAACAGGTGATGCATTTTTACCAATGTAGATTGAAAACAAAAGCTTGAGTAAATACACAAATAATGCACGTTCATGATTTCCACATACCACGCCGGGCATAATGGGCATTGACCATTGATTTGAGTCATTTATACCTCGGCCCTGCAAATTTTAACTCAAACCCATCACAGAGTTCTAGAACTTCTTGTCTGTTAAGATTGTCTGAATTTGCTGAATATATCTTCTAAGTCACAATCAACTGATACTTTGTTCAAACGCAAACTGCTTCTGCTTGAAAAGATGATTGAATGTCTTGGTAAATTCTTGATTTTGCTATATTGCATTGTACACGCGTCTTGCAAAGACAGGTCAAGCTACTTGAGGTATCTTGATGTTCAGGGATACAAGTGTTCAGATCGCCAAATATGTGAGGTTCCTGGCCGTAGCGATGTAGGGGATTGTGCAAGTGAGTGTAGCACACGAGAGTCTTGCATGCTCTTCTCCTACAACAGGGTGTCCGGGCTGTGTCAGATACACAGTCAGATACTGTCCCTCGGTAGTAGTAACTGCACACAAGACGAGAACACGGACCACTACATAAATGGTAAGTTTTTAAACCATTATTTTATTCTTTTCCTTTTGTTTCGTGAAGATTCCGGGGTAGAATAGGTCTTCAGCAACCCATGCTTGCCGTAAAAGGTGACTATGCTTGTCGTAAAAGGCGACTAACGGGATCGGGTGGTCAGGCTTGCTGACTTGGTTGATGCATGTCATCGATCCCAATTGCGTGGATCGATGCTCATGATGTTAATCACTGGATTGTCTGGTCCGGACTCGATTATTTACAGACCACCGTCATATAGCTGGAATATTGCTGAGTGCGCGTTAAACATTAAACCAATCCTTTGTTTATGTGTTTTTTAAAGCAACACTCAGCAATATTCCAGCAATCTGACGACGGTCTGTAAATAATCGTGTCTAGATCAGACAATCCATTGATTGATATCATGATCATCGATCTACCATTATCTCATTGAATGTTCTTTGACGGCGGTCTTAATAATCGGGTATGGACCAGACAATCCAGTGATTTATATCATACCATAAATTTGTTGAATGTTCTAAATGTTTAACTCTTGTCTTGTTTAGATTTACGACAGTCTTCTTTTATCACATAGTACATATCATTCTTTTGTGTATTTTCGTTTGCTTCGCTTGGTACCATGTTTGAATTAATCTACAATGCTGCTGAAGGGCATCAGTAGGTCAGGCTTAGTCATCATGGTTGGTTTGTTTGGTTTGTTGTTTAACGCCGCACTCAGCAATATTCCAGCTATATGACGGCGGTCTGTAAATAATCAAGTCTGTACAAGACAATCCAGTGATCAATATCACGAGCATCTATCCACGCAATTGGGATTGATGTCTTGCATCAACCAAGTCAGCGAGCCTGACCACCCGATCCCGTTAGTCGCCTTTTACGACAAGCATAGTCGCCTTAGTCATCATGACTCCGTTGATTGCTTATCATGATCTTACCCGTACTGCATGGGTAATACCTAGCACTGGTTTATTTGATTGACAGGAGGCTGTGTTATAGTTAGGGATATTATCCATGACTGTAGATTTATCGCATGTAATAACTTTACGATATTTGCACATCGTAACGATTCTCTTGCTGAAGCCATAGCACGTCCAACCGGTTTTTAATGTTAAGTGAGTGAGTGAGTTTGGTTTAACGCCGCTTTTAGCAATATTCCAGCAATATCACGGCGGGGAACACCAGATATGGGCTTCACACGTTGTACCCATGTCGGGAATCGAACCCTGGTCTTCGGCGTGACGAGCGAACGCTTTAACCACTAGGCTACCCGACCGCCCCTTCAATGTAAAGACAAATACGATATAACGTGACGTCATTCATTTTGCCTGACGTCACAAATTGATTACACAGCGTCATATGAACAATAGGCTGTATACTTTTCACAACTTTTGAGGTACAAACGAGCTTGCTCTTTCTACGAAGATTTCAAAGAGCGTTGTACGACTACTGCTCAAAACTTGTTTGATCAAAGTTACAATATTCAAGGTCTCAGTAAATATCCCAAAATGTTTTATGGTAGACATATGTGGTGGACGTTCCAAATTTGACACATCAATACCAAACATGATGTCGGATGCATTCAATGTGTCATATGAGGTCATTCTTCTGAATATCCTGATATTTCTTGTGATTTAGGGAAAGTGTTTTGTCGCTTTATCTGTAGGGTTGACATTTTATACGTTTTTCGTCATTTTTACTCTTAAAATGTCAATGAGTAATACATAGTTAAATCGTTAAAGGCTCGGGACTTACACCATTTATTTATCCAGGACATATAATCCGTAAATTCTTGTAGCTGGTTGGCTGTCTTGTTTGTTTGTTGTTTAACGTCGCATTCAGCAATATTCCAGCCATATGACTGCTATTTTCTAAGAATGGGGTTCAGGTGTGTAGATGGTTAGGAATTTGATCTGAAATCAAATATTTGAAAGCTCCTTAAAAAGCTTTAGAGAAACTTGTCAGTTAATTCAGTACATATTACTAATAACCTACGCGATTATTGACTGCTTAATAACAACAACTTATAACGGTTTTAAAAGAGATGCACATTGTCATTAAATTGTATGAATAAATAATTTGGACACATGTAATATATATAGAATATGTGGTGGCCAAATTGTTTGCATTTCGTGACAAATACCACGAATGTGTAATAATTAATATCATATACTGTTTCACGCGTTACCTACAGATAGGGAAAATCGAAATCACCACACACAAGTTGATGAAATATATAGAAATATTACAAACTGTTCATATTAAACTAATGAGAACATAATGACCGATAAGGTTATAAAGTCCACATGCCGACCTTTGTTACAATACTCCACTGTGACACAATGACTTTGCCCCTTGAAGATCCGGGGTAGAATAGGTCTTCCGCAACCTATGCTTGCCGTAGGTGACTACAGTATATGCTTGTCGTAAGAGGCGAATAACGGGATTGGGTGGTCAGGCTCGCTGACTTGGTTGAAGCATGTCATCGATCTCAATCGCGTGGATCGCTCGTGTTGTCAATCACTGGATTGTCTGGTCCAGACTCGATTCTTTACAGACCGCCGTCATATAGCTTGAATATTGCGGAGGGCGGCGTTAAACAACAAACAAACAAACACAATGACTTTACGGCACAACTATTGATTTTGCTAACTAATTTTATTTTGTTTCTTTAAATTCAGATTATGTGTCTCCTAGCAACACATTACCGATGGTAGCCCGTGAGTCTGTGGGTGTCAGGGAACGCAGCTATTTTGGCAATAGCGCTCTCATGAGAATCATGAAGGAAGGGGAGATAATTCAGTGGCAGTTCTACTCTGTTGCTGAAGGCGGTGCAATGCTTCAAGTCTGGAGGCCACGGAGCGATCTGGAAAATGGCCAGTATGTATTTTTATGTATTCTTCAACAGCTTAACTATGCTTCGTATAACCACGTATTAGTATTATTACATTTTGGCTTGACTCTAAAACCTTTAGACATGTCCATCCCTCCTTTGTAGCTCCATAAAAATCCATACAAAGAGCTTGGTCCAGCAAATCCCTGTCTCAAAGATTAACAATCATTCATAATATAATCAAGGAAGGGCTTTATTTTTGTTCACAAGTATTTAAGACAAGTGGAATTAATATTCGTGGATTCTCAAAACCTAAAAGAATTTGCTTGGATTTTAGCAACGTTAAAAGAGAACCAAGTTCAATTCCGTATAAACATTTGCCATACTATGCTTGGTGGCCATAATTATACCTACATCTCTATTTTCAAAGGGTTAGGACAAATTGTAAAAAGTGAAAGTGTATGTTATAAGCCCGTGAAGACGCCGATGCATGTCATCGATCCCAATTGCGTGGATCGATGCTCATGATATTAATCACTGGATTGTCTGGTCCAGACTCGATTATTTACAGACAGCCGTCATATAGCTGGAATATTGCTGAGTGCGGCGTTAAACAACAAACCAACCAAACCAAATCATACATAATATCAATATGAAATTTGGGGACAGGATATTTAGGCACCAACTTGGCACCAACATGGCTCCCCTCAATGCTGTTCAATTTCTTTACGCATACGAGTCACAACTTGTCAAAACTAAAACAAGGTAAATTGTCCGTAGATGTTTAACTTAAGCTTCGTGCAAATCGACGATTAGTTATAGTTTAATATTGGCTGAGTGAGTGAGTATGGTTTTACGCCGCTTTTAGCAATATTCCAGCAATATCACGGCGGGGGACACCAGAAATGGGCTTCACACATTGTACCCATGTCGGGAATCGAACCCGGGTCTTCGCCGTGACGCTTAAACCATAAGGCTACCCGACCGCCCCTAATTTTGGCTGAAAAGCCAATTCGCTTCCACTGATTTAACCACCTGAGCTCGAAGTAAAAGAGACATGTGAAACCGACTCATGTTTCATATTTACATCTATGCATAAAGATTAGGAATGAAGCAAAACTATTCACAAGAGGGAGGACTTCTTTTTTCTTTTATGTCGAGCAATATTTCAGCAGCTCCAGCAGGTGTCTGCTTTTGAGGCAAAATCAAGCATGCCCTTCTTAGTCAAAAGTAGTACACCATTCAAAGCCTTATAATAGACGTGTAGTTCTCTATACCATATGATCTCTTGTTTGTTCGGGTGAACACTTGACGTGCCTTTGTATGTGTTTGTGACGGATGCCATCTGATATTTCCAAGAGTGAAAAGGTCAACTTGTTCAGGATACTCTATTAGATACAGATGCTACTTGACAATATATCAAAATGCCCAAGTAACAAGTCTGAACGCCATTACACCAATCAGCCACACTGCAAGTTGTTCCGGCAATTTCACACGTGGGAAATATCGATTGCATATAATTCTAATTCTACATTATTAAGGAATGCTTGTTTCTGATTGGTAAAAAAGAGTTTTCCGTTTTCCTACGGAACTCCCCTTTAAATATATAAAGCTTTTTCACACACAATATTATCGACAGCCTACTGGCTCGCTGACTTGGTTGAAGCATGTCATCGGTCCCAATTGTACGGATCGATGCTCATGATGTCAATCACTGGATTGTCTGGTCCAGACTCGATTATTTACAGACCGCCGTCATAGAGTTTGAATATTGCTGAGTGCGGCGTAAAAAACAAACCGAACCAAAACAAACCTAATATGGAAAACTTGCAACATGCTTGCTGACTATTAAAACTATCTAACAATAAATACAAGAATTGTCGCTTGACAATATGCCAACTGTGGAAATTGTTTTGTCATGTGTCCATTCAAATATGTCTTATATGATGACTTGATTAACAAGCGCAATGACACAATTCTACACAATTCAAGATGTTTTGTCGATTTAAGATGCAATGTAATTCTGAACTATAAATCCATACGTTGACGCATGCTAGAACAAAAGGATCTAAAACGAAATATTTGCTTTGATCTGGATGATCAATTAACACCAGGGTTACGAAAACAATACCACGTTCATGTTGGGTTTTAGTTTGACGCGCGAGCGTCTATTGTATTGTAGTAGTCATCATACCGTGTTTACGTCCGCCCATACCACTGTCTGTAGGTTTATGCCCCGTCCAAAGTGGGTTGGTTGGTTGGTTGGTTTGTTGTTTAACGCCGCACTCAGCAATATTCCAGCTATATGACGGCGGTCTGTAAATAATCGAGCCCGGACCAGACAATTCAGTGATTAATATCATGAGCATTGATACACGCAATTGAGATCGATGACATGCATCAACCAAGTCAGCGAGTCTGACCACCCAATCCCGATAATCGCCTTTTACGACAAGCATAGTCACCTTTTGCGGCAAGCATGGATTGATGAAGACCTTTTCTACCCCCGATTTACCCACCTGAACTAGAAATAAAGGAGACCAGTGAGACCGCCTCATCTGTTTCATATTTAGATCTATGCATAAAGATTCAGAGACAAAACACGAGCAACCTGCTTTAGTGAACTACCTGCTTTAGTGGAGCAAGACTAAAAGACAAATGGGATGACTTCAACTTTCCAATGGTCAACTTTCCCTTTTGTTGAGGAATATAAAGGCTATATAAGAAGAGGGATGAAAAATCAAAGTTCTCTTTATGTCGAGCAAATATAATTCTGAGTTGAACCAGATATTCCCATGTTTTATTTTCTTCTGGTGACCATTTGACTTGCGTTTGCCTATGCTAGTGACGAGTGCCGCCGGCGGTGTATTCGCGAACACCTGATATCACCACCATCTGATCGTGATTCATAACCACATGCTCATGATCTAGTATGAATTGTACAATCGACTCGAGGTTTCTTATGAATTATGTAAAGGGTTTTGTTGCTTTTATTAAAAATGCTACCATGTGTTCTGAACTTTAAGATGGCACACAATTGGTGATTTAAAAACAAAAGTTAAAATATAGAAGTTCACCCTCCCGCTCTCTTGCTGGTTGAGGATGGAGATGGCTTAATCTGTATCCACGCAGTGTTTCAATCTACCTCAGGTCACAGCTATTACATTGACACAAAGCCCGTGACGATCAGGGGTAAAATAGGTCTTCAGGATCCCATGCTTGCCGTAAAAGGCGACCTTCGGGATCGGGTGGTCAGGATCGCTGACTTGGTTATTTACAGACCGCCGTCATAAAGCTAGAATATTGCTGAGTGCGGGGTTAAACAACAAACACACATTGACACAGTTTGTTTTAAACTTGCGTTGTCCTCACTTTCAGATATGAGTTTGTTGGGCAAAACTTCCTAAAGAGCGAAATAATTGGAGAGCCAGATAATCTGAATGTACCTGAGCACGAGCGGATACAGGTGCAATCTGGAGACGTGATTGGCATCTACTACGACGACCCGGCCGCCGGTATCACCTACAGTGACTGCAATGCCACAGAATCCCCTGACGCAGCTGGGATGTCCTGGCTCGAGAGGGAAGTGGATGAAGCGTCATTCTTTGTGCCTGGGTCGATTTATACCCAGACAACTCAAGACAATTGCCAAATATTTTCACTTAAAGCGATGGTTGGACCAGTGAGTAAATTATTCTTCTGTTAATTGTTAAATAGTAGATACACAGTCTAGGGACAACTGGTCAACAGTTGGTCGATTGGGTGGTCTTTGCTGAATAAGTGTCGTCGTACCCCTAAGGCGTGGGTCGATGATCATGATATCAATCACTAGAGTGTCTGAACCAGACTATATTATTTCCAGGGAGCTACCGTATAGCTCGAATATATAGCGTTAAACAAGAAACAAGAAATCTGAAAATACTTGTTAAAATAAACTTAAAGAATAAAAAACCGTGCATCATATAAAGTTACAAAAAAAACATATTTCTAAATAAAATAATGCATCTTTCAGTACATTTACATATCTCCTCGACCTTAAGCTCGTGATTCACAGTTTGCACGTGCATATTAATGCACGCGCACAATTCGGATGTTTGCGTGTTTGTTGGGAGCTTGCTAACGTGATTTGTGAATGTGAACAACACACAATGATAGTTTAGCTTTCAGGCACTTATAAAACACATTTGTGTTTAACCGTACATGCCAAAGCTTGAAAATCAACGGCTATGCGCCATGGGTATTCTGCTAAAAGGAAAGGAATCGACACCAAACTGCCACGTTAACAGCTCGGAAAGTTCGTGGGTTGAGACCAAGTAGTGGCAGAACCGTACGCAACCGGTTGAGGGAGCACAACATCCGTTTCCGATGTCCAACGATACGCCGAATTTTGCTTACACGTCACCGTCAGGCACGCCTAGCTTGGTATTGACAGCATCTCAGGTTTAGAAGGCAAGACTGGGAAAATATACTGTTCACAACTGAGTTCAATTGTTAATTGAAATTTGACTGGCGTTCGCTCCTGGGACGACATCGTTATAGATCATGTACCCTTGCAAATGCAGGGACGGATTGTCACGTTGCACCAGTGAGTGAGTGAGTTGGGTTTAATGCTGCTTTTAACAGTATTCCAGTTACATGACGGCGTGTCAGCTTAATGTGGGGGGGGAAAGCCCGAAGTGATGCAGGTCTCAGACGTTTACCACTTCGGTGAAAGCCACGAGCACGGGTATGGTTTCTGGCGTGCCCAAGGGACGCAGTGTGCCTTAGACGACTGGGCCACCAGTGCCCCCCCCCCCCCCCCCCCCCCCCCCCCCCCAGGAGATAATACCCGCCCACATGCTGCATGAGGCAGCGTAGCATTGCTGTACTGCCGTGGCCAGTTGTTTCTCCAAAGGTCCTCTCCCCTATAGAACATGTCCCAGGTGCGATAGGACGACGCCTACGACAGGAACAGAACCAGCCGGTAATGCTAGCCCAGCTGGACCAATCTGACATTTGGAACAACATCCCTCAGGCTGTTTTCAATCAACTGGTGTCTTCATTGCGCCACCGCTGCCTCGCTTGTATCAACGCAAATAGTGGTCACACCCGAGTTCTTATACCACCTCTCTTCGCGTGTGGCTATCTGTCTCCTGGTAGCAGGTATGGGTTTTGTCAATGTATTTGTGATGATAAAACGTTGATCAGACGATTGGACACATATTATGTTGATAGTTTTATCCCAATCACTGGATTGATTGGTCCATAATTGAACGCCAGAGTTTTTAATGAGAGAAGTTTTTATTTGTTTGAGTTTGTTGTTTAACGACTCACTCAGCAATATTCCACCTATACGGCGGCGGCCTGTAAATAAGCGAGTCTGAACCAGACAATCCAATGATTGATATCATGAGCATCGATACACGCAATTGGAATACGATGACATGCATCAACCAAGTAGCATACATATCACTTGTCATGCAGCAAGAGCTAAACGGTGCATGGAACGGCAAACAAAAGACAATCATGTCCTGTCACTAAAACGAACTAATTCACTTTCACACAAAGTCAATGGTGTGTCATATTTTACAGAAGCGAACCCAGATTTTAAGCCAAGTGAACTCCTCACCAATAAAGAGTCGCAGCTCTGTCGGGAGTTCGAAGAGGGTCTACATCGGCCTGAATGACAATTTCAAGATACGTGTTGATGGACGCCTCTCGATCTGGAAGTTCTACTCCAAGATTGCTGGTTCCCTAGCACTGCAGGTCTGGCGACTAATACAAGGCGAAAAAACACAGCAGTAAGTACTAGTACTACCATAGTTCAGCCACCAAGCTTGTGGTATGTGGCGACCAGGTTCGCTGACTTGGTTGATGTATGTCATCGTATCCCAACCGCGTAGATCGATGCTCATGATGTCAATCACTGGATTGGTCAATATATAAATATTTACATACCGATGTCATGTTGCTGAAGTATTGACGCATGCCTGTAAATAATTTATAATTAGCACTATATGACGAATTGAGCGGTTCACCCAGGCATTGTAATCTCACGCGGTTACTTTTGTGAATGAGTAAGTTAAAATTTTACATAGCATCGGTAATATTGGAGCCTTATCGCGATGAGAACAAGTTAGTTATTGTTAAATGCATGTCGACAAAGAACAGTAAAAAACAGTAGGGTAAATGTCACAGTTCTGATATAAAATACCTGGGCAAGATTATAACAGAGTGTTGAGTAGATTAGTTAATATAAATTAAAACCAGACTACAGACAAATGGCAGCCAAAGTTTGACCACATAACTGGGGATCATGGGGACTTACAGTGCTTTTGCTTCCTGAATGATTCCCAGCAGGATTTATGCCATCACTTTGGTCACGAGTCGTATGCAATGTTCAACCAATATTACAAATCAAATCCCAAGCAGGGAATTAACACACAAGTTGATGATTAACACTTCAATATAGATGGACTCCCCTGCCACTGTCAGGGGGACAATGAGTTTACACTACTTAAATCTCTCTGTATGTCCATGTGCGACTGTGTGAGAAGTAGTTTTGTGGGGGCGTTAAACAACAGATAAGCAAACAGTATCGTGAGTAGATGACGCTGACAGGAACGTCTGGACAATGCCTGCAACATGTCTGTGACAGTTTGGAAAGTCATAATGTCACGCTTAAACCCCAAACAACTATGACAATGAGAAAATACTGATTTATAATTGGGATAAATTTGCAGGATCAGCTTCGTTGGTCAAAATATTTTGACGAGTGTCTCCAACGCCCCTCAAGATGTCTACGTGGACGAGGCAGATCGCATACAGGTGAAGGCTGGGGACTACATCGCCGTGTATTACGGGGTAAGCAAAGGGGGCCTGTGTTACGACGATTGTGACGAAGAAATCAACCCAGAGTCTGATCAAGTTGGTTATTCCCTCGACCAGGTCGACTCTCCAGAAGAGTTTTACGAAGGTAAGTATTCTAATCTGTCCTTAAAAACCTTGTTTAGTATTGAAGTGAACTGTTCGATTTGAATGCTATAATTGTGATATCGAGGTTGTACTTTTTCATTATAATAACTTAAACGTGAAAGTTGACGGCACTCACTCACACACTTTAACCTACAGAAGTCACCTTATCCAGGTTGGTTGGTTGGTTGTTTTACGCCGCACTCAGCAATATTCCAGCTATATGACGGCGGTCTGTAAATAATCGAGTCTGTACCAGATAATCCAGTGATTGGTATCATGAACACTGATCCACGCAATTGAGATACGATGACATGCATCAACCAAGTCAGACCACCCGATCCTGTTAGTCGCCTCTTACGCCATGCATAGTCGCCTTTTACGGCAAGCATGGGTAATGGAGATGGATTAATTTCTACCGTTGACGTGTTCTATTTCTCTACGTTGCAGGTAAAGTAATGGACTTGATAATTCCGCTCTACAACTGTAGAGTATTCTCTCTAACAGCCTTCATCCAACCCACCGCCAGTTAATTATTTGGTAAGTGGCTTTATAATTATAATATTCGAATAAATACACTGCTGCGAAAAGGCGAGATGAGGTTCGGTTGGGTTTAACGTCGCGTCCAATATTTTTGAACTCTGTGTGTGTGTGTGTGTGTGTGTGTGTACCATTTCTGACTAATGCCGATTTTATAGTGCCAGCCCACTGAGATCAACGTCGCTATATGGCTGAGATAATGCTGATGCGACGTTAAATTTTAACTCACTCTCACTGAGATACCATGCCTCAGTTTAACATGAATATCCGACTCAAACTAAGTACACTGTTACCTAGCCGACCTGTCCTTGTCCCTTAATGCCGACCTCAAGAGAGGGATACAAGTACCCTCTTTTAACGTTTTATGGTGTGACGCGGCCGGGGATCGAACCCCGAACCTCCCGCTCTCCGGGCAAACGCTCTACCACTTGACCACGGAGGCGATCCTGCTGTAAGAAAGAAATTATACACTCAAAGCTTGGAAAAAAAAAAGGTACAAACGTCATCAAAACGTTACAAGGCTGAAAACAGTCACCGAAAGACGGACAAATTCAGGTCCAAAACACAGCCATGATACCCGTATCAAATACAACACCATCGTTGGTTGGTTTGTTGTTTAACGCCGCACTCCGCAATATGACGGCGGTCTGTAAATAATCGAGTCTTGACCAGACAATCCAGTGATTAATATCATGAGCATCGATCCACGCAATTGGGATCGATGACTTGCATCAACCAAGTGAAGCCATATTCTACCCCGGAACCTTCACGGGTCTCGAATAACCAGTTCTTGTTGTTTCATTTTTAGCCACCATTACTTCCTTTTTGCCCGCATGAGCATCGATCCACGCAATTGGGATCGATGACTTGCATCAACCAAGTCAGCGAGCCTGAACCCACCCCACCCCCCCCCCCCACCCCCCCCCGCGATCCCGTTAGTCGCCTTTTACGACAAGCATGGGTGGCTGAAGCCATATTCTACCCCGGAACCTTCACGGGTCTCGAATAACCAGTTCTTGTTGTTTCATTTTTAGCCACCATTACTTCCTTTTAGCCCGCAGTTTCTATGAAACATTTAGCCAGGCATATTTTGTGTTCTTGATTTTGGAAATGCGAGGCACGGATGGCACATTAGGAGTTCGATTCCCAGATAAAAAAACTAACCCCCTCACAATAGGTCTACTTTTTTCAATTGTAACTTGTCCTGTTATGTAACAAAGGTTCAACTGTAAACTCAAAGTAATTCCTCGTGAACCGTGTATTAATTAATGTAATACGTTATAATCTTGGTTTCCAGATATATCTGAGGATGACCCATGGTTCGAGGAAGCGCTCACGCGTCTATCAGACCTCGTCCTGCTGCTAATATATAGTCTTTGTCAGGCGAGAGGAAGCGCTCACACGTCCATCAGACCTCGTCCTGCTGCTAATATATATTCTTTGTCAGGCGAGAGGAAGCAGCAAGCACCTTCTTCACACATAACATGTCACCACTTTTTAATAAAACATCTGCAGCAGACATTTCGTGTTTGTTGTAATGCTCTGCAAACGAATAGTGCATATTATACCAAGAAAGGACGTATGGATGGTAATAGGTTAATTATTTTTAATCACGAAAGAAATCAAATACGGTTTTGACTGCATCAATTAAACCTCTACTCCATTTCCAAATATATCTCAAAAGAAGATGCCATAGTCTTCAGAACTTGAGACGCGAGGAATTGTTTCTGGAGTGACATTGTTTCTTTCATTAACTGACTTTTATTGTTTGATTAAATTAATTATGATGAGATCACTGTCCAAATATGCCTCCCACAATTGTTTCATTTTGCTCAACATGACAAAAACGTTATTCAACATCATTGGGATGGGCTAAAATAATGATTTTCTCAAATGTGTTTAAGAATCCTGACGGGCAATATTGTCCTTTTGCTCTGTCCAGAAGCATTTACATGTAGTATGTTTGCTTATACTACAGAACGCAGATTTTGTAGTCAGCTTTCAACAAAAAAGGGACCCGTGAAGATTCCGGGGTAGAATTGGTCTTCAGCAACCCATAATTGCCGTAAAAGGCGACTATGCTTGTCGTAAAAGGCGACTAGCTAACGGGATCGGGTGGTCAGGCTCGCTGACGTGGTTGGTACATGTCATCGATCCCAATTGCGTGGATCGATGCTCATGTCAATCACGGGATTGTCAGGTCCAGACTTGGGGGGCGGTCGGGTAGCCTGGTTGGTTGGTTTGTTGTTTAACGCCGCACTCAGCAATATTCCAGCTATATGACGGCGGTCTGTAAATAATCGAGTCTGGATCAGACAATCCAGTGATTGATATCATGAGCATCGATCCAAGCAATTGGGATCGATGACATGTATGAACCAAGTCAGCGAGCCTGACCACCCGATCCCGTTAGTCGCCTTTTACGACAAGCATAGTCACCTTTTACGGCAAGCATGGGTTGCTGAAGACCTATTCTACCCGGGAGTCCTCACGGGTCGGGGAAGCCTGGTGGTTAAAGCGTTCGCTCGTCACGCCGAAGACAAGGGTTCGATTCCCGACAATGTGAGAAGCCCATTTCTGGTGCCCCCCGCTATGACATTGCTGGAGTATTGCTAAAAGCGGCGTAAAACCATACTCACTCACTCACCAGACTCGATTACTTACAGACCACACTCACACAGCTTGAAAATTTGTGCGGTGTTAGACAACAAACAAACAATCTTCACAGCAATCTTTTATTTAACCGTGCTGTCGTTGTGAGAGCCGTGCTTCTTGAAGTAAATGTTCATGGTAATGTGATGCATACACAGTACACTACATTTTCATTACAAATTTTTGGTTGTTTATCCAACACTTATGAAGGTATAAAATATTTTAGAAAGCCTGGCGATGCTATTCACCGATAACAACCTTGGTTAGTTGGTGGACTACATGTGCCGTTAAATTGTGACCTTAAGAATATGAACATTATGACAGTTATATCACGGTGTGTCAGCTTGATGTGTGAGGAAAACCCAAAGTGATGCAGGGGTAGAATAGGTCTTCAACAACCCATGCTTGTCGTAAAAGGCGACTAACGGGATCGGGTGGTCAGGCTCGCTGACTTGGTTGATGCATGTCATCGATCCCAATGGCGTGGATCGATGCTCATGACATTAATCACTGGATTGTTGTTTAACGCCGCACTCAGCAATATTCCAGCTTTATGACGGCGGTCTGTAAATAATCGAGTCTGGACCAGACAATTCAGTGATTAATGTCATGAGCATCGATCCACGCCGTTGGGATCGATGACATGCATCAACCAAGTCAGCGAGCCTGGCCACCCGATCCCGTTAGTCGCCTTTTACGACAATGGGACCGATGACATGCATCAACCAAGTCAGCGAGCCTGACCACCCGATCCCGTTAGTCGCCTTTTACGACTAGCATAGTCGCCTTTTACGGCAAGCATGGCTTGCTGAAGACCTATTCTCTCCCGGATCTTCACGGGTCGCATACTTCTAGTGAAAACACATAATTTTATTAAATATATGTGGATTGAGTGAGTGAGTGAGTGAGTTTAATTTTAAGTCACGTGGGTAATATTTCCGCCATAGTGTGACTTGAACAAGTTATACAGTATCTATAAAAAAAAACCTTGACGAAGGACAGTATGATATCAAGCAATATATCACAGAGAAACTTAAAACAAGTTGTAGACCATTAAAACTATCTGATTATTGGGCAACGACACGATACAAAAATGGGTCGACAGATCGCCTACTCAAATGGAGAACTATGGATTACCAGTGACTATGACCCGTGAAGATTCCGGGATAGAATATGTCTTCAGCTACCCATGCTTGCCGTAAAAGGTGACTATGCTTGTCGTAAAAGGCGACTAACGGGATCGGGTGGTCAGGCTCGCTGACTTTGTTGATGCATGTCATCGGTCCCAATTGCGTGGATCGATGCTCATGATATTAATCACTGGATTGTCTGGTCCAGACTCGATTATTTACAGACCGCCGTCATATAGCTGGAATATTGCTGAGTGCGGCGTTAAACAACAAACCAACCATCCAATCCTACATTAAGCTGTGCTAGACATGACAGCTATTGCACTTGGTCAAGGGAACTTTGTAACAAAGTGCTTTTTCCTCAGGCACTACAATAACTTAATTCACATTTTAGTATAAGGGTTCAAAGGGACCGACCATTTAGGAGATAGCGAGTAAATGTTTGAACTGCAAGTTGTGTTCCATTTGCTTCAAAACGTTTTGACAAGCAGCGCCCATTCGTTAACTAGTAAATTAACATGTTCGAAGTTATCTTGTTCATTTCCCAACTAGGGGCCTGTCGGGTAGCCTAGTGGTTAAAGCGTTCGCTCGTCACGCCGAAGACCCGGGTTCAATCCCCGACATGGGTAAAATGTGTGAAGCCCATTTCTGGTGTCCTCCGCCGTGATATTGCTGGAATATTGCTAAAAGCGGCGTAAAACCATCTTCACTCACTCACTTGTTTCTCAACTAGTTATTCAAGAGAAGGAACCGCAACTTTAAGCAGGTCTCAGCTTCATTTCAGTCCACATGAGAGAGTATTCGAAGCCGTGCCAACTTTCCCAGTTCAAGCCGTTGCTGAAAGCGCTGGTGCCGTAGAGCCCGTTCAGGTTGCTTGAGTGACAATCCCTGTACCACCAGCCACCGTAACGGGTGAGTGCACAGTTGTTCTGCCACGTGTCTTGGTCCCTGTCCTTGGTGGAGAAGTACATGCCGTTATGGGTGCTGGCAAATGAGTCACCTGGAGAAGGGAAAATAACAATACACTACTGTGCAAAAGTAACTTCCATCTATGATGTTAGTAACGCTGTCTGAACTTGTTTATAATTCGCCAGTGTTTGGGTTTCGAACCCGTTTATTTTGTATTATTCGTTCGTTGATTAAACATGTTTTATTGAGAACAATCAAATTAATTAGGCACAAGTGGTCAGGCTCGCTGAATTGGTTGATGCATGTCATTGTATCCCATTTGCATGGATCAATACTCATGCTATCAATCACTGGATTGTCTAGTCCAGACTCGATTATTTACAGACCGCCGTCATATATTGCTGAGTGCGACGTTAAACAAACAAACATTACCTGAGGTCATCACGAACCTACCTCTGTCACCGCTGTAGCCCGATACTGTAAGTAGGTATTTGCCACCTTCGTTCCCCACAGAGAAGGATGAGTACTTTGCATACCCGAATACGTCACTTTGGTCTCTCATGTCGATCCTCAGTTGTGATGCTTTTGCCGTTGTCAAGCGATTAAGTATGTCATTACCTACAAAGAAACATGTCAAAGTAGACACAATTTATGGATAACATCTTTATTTTACTGTAATGGCGACGTATCGGTATAGAGATCCTTACACAGTTCGGGTCCTGTTGTAGGCGTCGACCAAACCCATCCCAAACATGTTCTATGGGGTACAGGTCTGGAGAAACAGGCGGTCATGGCAGTACATCAATGTTATGCTACCTCCAAGTCTCTTACAACATATGAAACCCGATAAGATTCCGGGGTAGAATAGGTCTTCAGCAACCCATACTTGCCGTAAAAGGCGACTATGCTTGTCGTAAAAGGCGACTAACGGGATCGGGTGGTCAGGCTCGCTGACTTGGTTGATACATGTCATCGATCCCAATTGCGTGGATCGATGCTCATGATGTCAATCACCGGATTGTCTGGTCCAGACTCGACTATTTTACAGACCGCCGTCATATAGCTGGAGTATTGCTGAGTGCGGCGTTGAACAACAAACAAACAAACAAACAAAAAACAACAACATGTGGGCTGGCGTTATCCTGCTGCAACTTGACGTTAAGTAGCCGCATTTTGCACAAGTGTGAAAAACCTGATCTCGGACGATATCGTTCCAGTAGCGTATGCCATTCAACTTGTCTTCAATAATGATGAGTAGCATTATCCCATGAATTTGATACCACCCCATAGCAGAACACTTCCAGCCTCATAGGGACGACGTTGAGTAATGCAAGCGTCGTTGAGATGTTCTCCTGGACGCCTGTTTGACCTTTGCCGGCCCGCGGCGAATCATGAGGGTTGTCCTGTTGTAGACAACGCCTTCAAAGAAATGATATTGTGTTTCGATGAACATTAACATGTCTGGCATTTTCGTGTTGTGCCATTCCTGTTAGCAGCATACCCACGACGCATAGATGTTCATTTTCAGCAAACAGAGGCATTGGGTAGCGCTATCACGGTTACAGTGTTTTTTAATGAGCAACCCATGCTTGTAAAAGGCGACTAACGGGATCGGGTGGTCAGGCTCGCTTACTTGGTTGATGCATGTCATCGTATAACAATAATAATCTGTGATATATTGCTAGTTGTTTATATATAATACAAGAGTTTGCCATTAACGTGACTATATCCCCCGCCCCTGTTGCAGAATTTATAACATAATTAAATCTAAACAAACCCTAACCTTTTTAACCAAGGTGGAACTTGTCATGGAAATTGAAAAAAAAGAGAAGAGTTTGGAACCTAAGTCCATCTTGTTGCCATGGAAACGTAAAAAATAAAAATTTCTAAAATTTCTAAATAGCAAAAGGCACAATTTCAGCATGTACCTGACAAACTTGCAAAGTTTGATGAAAAAATATTGAACGGTTTATGAGTTATGCTCCGGAAACGAACCCTATCCTCACAGAACCTAAGTCCATCTTGTTGCCATGGAAACGTAAAAAATAAACATTTCTAAAATTTCTAAATAGCAAAAGGCACCAGTTCAACATGTACCTGACAGACCTGCAAAGTTTGATGAAAAAATATTGAACGGTTTCTGAGTTATGCTCCGGAAACGAAACGTGACGGACGGACGGAGCCCGTTTCGATAATAAATGTTTAACTTGCTCAAGTCACGATATCTCTGAAATATTGCCGATATGACTTGAAATATTAACTAACTCACTCACCCCAATTGCGTGGATCGATGCTTATGACATCAATCACTGGATTGTCTGGTCAAGACTCTATTTATTTACAGACCGCAGTCATATAGCTGGAATATTGCTGAGTGCGGCGTTAAACAACAAACCAACCAACCAACTCATAGTCCTATGTATCTTAACATAAACACTCGTCAAGACGATACTGCCTGCCAATCAACGCCTGCTATTGACAGGCGCACGAACTCTTCATGCGACTACCGTCTCTGGAACAGCAGGGAAGCATGTCAATTTCAAGACACTATCAACATGTGAATATGTGAATACAATACTTGATAAACTGAACATGTGTAATTCTAACGTTAACAAGAAATGTTTATCAGATATTGTTGTAAATGTTAACAAAGTTTTTGTTAGTGCTGCAATGTGAAGTTAGCCGAGGGAAGTATCTTCAATCCAAAACTACTTGCCATAGGAATAAAACGTGTGGAAATAAGCAACGTCTATTAAATGCAAGTAGATCCTATAAGATGACTTTACGTAAATTTTATAATCGACACAAAAACACTTTACAAACTAAAATATCATCAGTTAGATTAAATGATGCAAAGTCTTTTTGTGAAAGTCTTGTAACGAGTCGCACTTACCTCCTTTGCCAACAATCTATGAAAATTTTAAAATTGTTTGTCTGTTTGTTTGTTGTTTAACGCCGCACTCAGCAAAATTAGAATAATGGTGATAATGACTCTTCGACTTATGAGTTTACTGATCATAAATCTTTTAACATTGACCATTGTTATGTTTTAGACAAAGAATTTACACCACTGGAAATTCAAGACGCCATTATTAGACTGAAACAGGACAACGCCTGTGGCCCTGATGCAGTCGTAAACGAATAAATTATAAATCCCCCGAGGTTATGATGCCTGTGTACGTTAAACTTTTTTTTACAATTCTAGACACAAGTGTTTTCCCTGATCACCAGTAGCTTACAGGTCTTATGAGACCAATGTATATATTTAAGGGAAAGGAGATCCATACAAACCGGTGAAATGTCGTCCTTTAGTCTAATTAGCTGTCTCAGTAAATTATTCACTGTTCTTCTCTGGTCTAGAATAAACACTTACTTGGAAATTGAAAACATTCTTTCAGAAGCACAAGCAGTATTGAGAGATTAAATATTCTACCATTGATCACATAATCACACTCCATAGCTTAATCGAGTTGTTCAATTGTTCAATACGGAGAATTGGTCTTTGGTGTAAATTACTAGCCCAGAGAATAAATGGAAAATGCTTTCGTATTGTAAGATCAATGTAGGATGGTATCAAATCATATGTGCCTGTGGATGGTTTAAAGTCAGAGTTATTTGATTGTAATATTGGAGTCACACAAGGGGAAAATTTATCGCCAATTCTTTTTTCCTTGTATTGGAATGATCTAGAATCCTATTTTACGCAACATGATTGTACAGGGTTGCAGATCGATTAAACTTAACTTGACTGTTTTGTAGATAGTGCTCTAGTTTTATTTGTACTTCTGTATGCCGGCGACACAGCTTTTTTGGCCCTGACACGTAAAGACAGAAATGTTTAACTTGCTCAAGTCACGATATGGCTGAAATATTGCCGATGTGACTTGAAATATAAACTAAGTCACTCACCCCAATTGCGTGGATCGATGCTCATGACATCATTCACTGGATTGTCTGGTCCAGACACTATTTATTTACAGACTGCAGTCATATAGCAGGAATATTACTGAGTGCGGCGTTAAACAACAAACAAAGAAATAATGAGCTCCTGATAGCAAAACAATCATTGTGTGTTCATAATATAAAACAACACGTGTTATATCAAGGATCATGCTTCCAACAAACATGCAAACATCCAAATTGGCATGTGCACCATGTATTATCAATGCACGTGCAAACTGTGAATCACGACTTCAAAGTCAAGGATACGTGTTCATGAATATATTGTGAGAAAGTGTTTATTTCCGTAAAGGGGCCATCGGCCCATTTCCAGGACATGTAAGAGTATCTTCAAACGATGCGTCGTACAATCACACCAGCATCACATATTAACGGAATTTAAACCATGGCTCCTTTGTCCGTTGTCTAATTAACTGAATTGTTAGTTAAACACCACTTGGCAATGACGGCGGAACTTTTTTTTTCAGCTATCATTTGTCTTGATGAAAGAACAATTTCGTGAAAAACGTTTGTCGCCAGCGGTATTCGAACCCGCAAAGTCCGCACTGAAGGCAAACGAATGTAGCCTTCAGCCACGGCGACATGGGAGAAAGGGTATGAAATTAACAACTAAATATTAGTACCAATTGCATATCCCAATATGAACTGCGAAATGTGCATTCTAGTATTTGTACAGTACTTGTGATTTTGTACCTTTTCGTTCAACGAAACAAACAGATAGAAAAGAAATTACTATTATCTTGAAGAGGGCTAATATTTCCTCATAACAGGCCCATCAACATGGGCAAGTAATATTTAGTTGATTGATAAATGTGCTCGAGTTGGTCCATAATGAATGGTATACGTGCCCCGGGACATGCATTTCATAACCCAAATCGGCGAGGTGCACGTGCGAAAGGCTCAGGGAACACATTTCACGTGCTTCACGCAGGACCGACTCACACCGTGTTCTCACAGTTGAGCATAGAGTCCCTGAATATCTTTCAAAATACCTTTTATAAAACAATGTTTTTTAAGCATTTTAGGTGCCATAAATGTTGGACATGGTTTAGGTATGTTAGAAATGTCCTTGAAAGGCTTGATTAAATGACACGGCGCTGCGCGCCTCGTGGTTTAATTAACCATTTCAAGGATTAGACACTGGGTCCTCGTGGTCTAACCTATACATAGTTGACATGCTTTTTTTAGAGCTACATGTCTAAACTCATATTTGGCCAAGAAATTGATAACATATTTACTGTTTGATAACATTGATTGTTTTCACTTTGTGCTATATTGCTACTATGCAATAGAATATCTAGGAAGCAGGTCGTTACGTACGTCATTGTAAAACGGGTTGGTTGGTTTGTTGTTTAACGCCGCACTCAGCAATATTCAAGCTATATGACGGCGGTCTGTAAATAATCGAGTCTGGACCAGACAATTCAGTGATTAATGTCATGAGCATCGACCCACGCAGTTGGGATCGATGACATGCATCAACCAAGTCAGCGAGCCTGACCACCCGATCCCGTTAGTCGCCTTTTACGACAAGCATAGTCACCTTTTACGGCAAGCATGGGTTGCTGAAGACCTATTCTACCCCGGAATCTTCACGGGTCATGAAAGCCCAAAACTTCAGAGCCATACATTAAAACTTGCAAAACTTTGACATCAAA